AGTGGTGGAGGTGTAGGCGGCTGTGAATGAAGCGCGGTAAAGCGTGTAAATTATGAGAGGGAGGGAAGAATATATGAGATGACTTGAAGGAGACGCTAAAGGGAAGTAATAATACGTGTAGGAGGCTTAGTCTGAAGATTGCATGTAGAAGTCAGAAAGGATTAACTAAGGTGCGGTTGTGCCTTACAGAAGGGCTGTGGATGCGAAAAGTGGGCGCAAAGAAAAGACTGATGAGGGAGGGTCACACGTGGAAAACATGATAGAACGGTGAAAAAGACGCGATGGCCTAAAGGAGGCGTAAGGAAAAATACGGCTAAAAAAAGTATGAGAAGAAAGAATAATAGGACGTAAGGAATGCTTCAATCAGGTATGATTTTGAAGAAAAGGGGGGTTGTAGAGTGCGCAAATTCAACACAAGTAAGGAATGTTGAAGGATATGTGAAGGGGACCGGAAGAACACGCTCAACAGGTTGCGAGAGTCAGGCGTTAAGAGGTAGTTGTGATAATGACACATAGGGGTTGAGGAAGTGAAGCAGATAAGCTGTGCGAGAGTTGAGGGAGTAGGGTTGGGGTGGAAGTGAATAGGGCGTAACAAAGTGTACAAGTGGATTGAAGGTTATGTAAAAAGGCCAAAGTGAAAGAAACGTAAGAGGGCACAAGGAATGTTTCAATCGGACATGAAGCTTGTGGAAAACATAAAGTATAATCCAATTTTGAAAAATGCAAAAGAAAACTTTAAAGTGTCCGAAAAGGGCTGGAAGCAGGAGCGAAGCAGGCATGACGGAAGCATATTTAAGAGGGCCACAGAGGGAGGTGAAGAAATCTCGAAGAAGATTTGTGGTACAGTGGCAGGGGACTTACAGTAGCGAAACAGAATAAAAAAATCCAATCGCAACCATCCTAAGAAACTATTGACGTCAAGTGTGAATTGGCAGCAACATTTTTTGAAAACCCGGCTCTGCTCGTAATTAGAGATGTCCTATTTGGCTCAAAAAAATAAGTTCAGCTCGGCTCGAAATTCGGCTCGTTTTCGAACTTTGGGTTCCCTTGGATACTTAAGGAAAACGTAATGTGCCCAATTAATTGTACTTACACAAACAAGGGGCCAGGCTACAGAAGAGGGTTCTTGTTTGCTAAAGGGATGGGTAACTGAGACATGGATGAAGCTCATGTTATGTCACACTCACCAACTAAACTAAATGATAAAAGTCACACAACCTTCTCCTTCAGAAGATAAAGGGGAATGATGTAGGTACAATAAAGGTAAATTCAGATGCTACGAACGAAAATTCGTTGGTACCTAACGCCATGCACAAATTAGTCCGACAATCAATAATTAACCCGCTTGTCAACTCTGTTAATAAATAACTGAGCTGTCACGTAGTGCGAAACATAGGAACGACAAAATGTTCAACAATGAGATTATGGGCTACAACGACAACCTACCATTGTGCACAGTATACGGCATTTATGAAAGCACAAAAAGAATAAATGATTGAATATTAGAATGGACATCAGCTACAGATGTAAAAATGTAACACACCGCGTCGCTTTCGAAAGCTGCAATACAATACCGAATTGTTGAATATTACGAGAACGCCGAACGCCACTAGCAGAATATTTGTAATTGTACTATATATCTTTTTGATGTATGAGTTCCGGGCTTTGGATGCGGACGCATGCCGTACAAATCTTAGCTTTTTGGTGAGAAGCGAACGTAAAAGCTGCTGCTCGAAAGGGCGATTGAATTATCTTTGATAAATAACGGAGCCCTACGGCTCAATAGATTGAGATTGTACGCTTATGGAACGGAATAATTGTTTATCGTTTTAATAAATTTTCTTTGAGATGCTGTGCATTGTCAGAATCAGACAACAGCCTTGTGTCTTATTATACTCGTCTTTGAAGATGAATTAAAGCAGAGCATTCTTTTGCAGATCGTTGAATTCGTTTTCATATAAAGATAAGCAAAGAGAATAGACTACGAAGAATCTATTATAGCTGAAACTCAACCAGCTTGTCGATGACGTAATGTGGATGAGTCATACCCAAGTGAGTTTGAGCTACACTTTCAAGGAGGTCGTATATTATGTGACAATATACAACCTGGAATTCTCTGCGTTAGATGTCACCTATTTCGCTCCACTAGCATGAATACCTGTGCCTCCTTAGGCCTAGGCTATTTTAAAAATGACAAATTATGCATTTATTCACATGCGATAGGGATGCACAGATAATAATATCACTATAACCGCGTAATGCGTTAATGTTGTCGCGTCTGTAGACAGCCGAATCCTAACAAGAATAAAAAAAAAACAAGTTACATTGTGGACGAAAAATTGGTTGCCTTAAACTTAATCGAAAAAATGAAATTACAATGTATTAAATATATAAAGTTAATTTACCTTAAACGGTGACAGTTGCAGAAGCGGAACGGTACGGTAACTCGAGCGCCACCAAGGGATGCAACGTTGCCCTTGGTTAAGGTCGGCTGTAGTAGTGGTCTACGTGAAATCAAATACGGGAAAAGCAAAGCAATACCCCCCTTTTAATTAACGAAAGAACGATATCAACTACTTTCCTTTAAAATCAAACCTAGCGGAAGAATATCTTAATGCTATGTGACTTGCAAACTTGCAAAAGTGAAAAAGGCAAACTAAACATCGCCGGTTTTCTCAGCCAGCTCAGTGTATTCGGAGTAAAGCGTTCAAAAATAGAAATTTCTTTAATTAACCTTTCGGCTTCTGATCATCACAAAAATCGGGGACACATTTCAAAATCTAAACCAATTAAGCGCGATTGGTTCGGATGCGATTCACTGCAACTCATTTCATTAACTACTGTTAATTATACTTACTTAAATGAACGAGATAAAATTTCTGCATTCATACTTCTAACTAACCCCCATTGTCTCTTGCAATTTCTCAGCTCAGCAAAAGGTCTCTTATCAAACTGATACCGGTGTAAACCTGCATAGCCTTGTAGTTTTAATGCTGGTTTTCATATACCATTGGAAACTAAAACCTGCTAATAGGTATAATTAACGGAACTGTAACTTATTTTTCCCTCGCTTTCCCATGTCGTGGGCGGTCGGATGCTACAAAAACAATTCTCATATCCCTACGGGAACGGCTGCAAACGGCAAATTAATTACGGTATCTTGATTTCTTTATCAGCGGGCACAACGATGCCACAAACTAAAGCAATTACTTTCACCATCTACTCCTTAAATAGCATAAACCCTTTCGGCACGACACTTTCCGTAACGAACCGCCTCCAGGTACCCGCCGGGTGTTCATGTACCGGGTGGTCATTAAAGCTAGTAAATTCAAGGCGGAAAACGGGTGCTTCGATTCAGCGAGATGTTGATGTCGGTCGATGATAAAAAAAGTTGCCGGTAAAATGCTTGATTTTTAATTAATTAGAAATTAGATGATGGTGTTTTTGTGTACCATTTTTTTTTCAAAACTTACACCTACATCTTCAACTCACAATTCTGCATAAATGGTGTCAACTAAATCATTAAACATTTCAAAATGCAATGCACTATGGACAAACTGCCCCATAACACTGCCCCATAACACTTGATTACAAACGAAATCATGAAGCAATAGTTCGGCCATCTGTTTTTAAGGATTTAAGCATTCATTACGACACTAGCTTGTTATTTAAGTATCATCTCGTGGTGAGAAGATCTGCTTTAAACACTTGGTTTTGTTTTGCGTAACAGTAAATCCTGTACCATTCCTTCCTGTACCTTCATTGTAAAATTATGAGGATTAACTTTTAGGAAGATATTTGAAATACGTCTCAGAACCAGTAAAAATTTTCGAGTTTAATTTTATAATAGCTCCATAAAAAAGATTAATTAAGATCTTTTTGTTTCTCAATTAACATTTTGAGGTTTTAATTTTAGGAAGATACTAGAAATACCAGGCCCTACGGCCTTGAGTGATTTCCAACGTCGACGATCAGCATTAGTCTAGCAAAATGTATAATATATTAAATTAAAAAATTCTGCATCGACCGGGAATCGAACCCGGACCGCCCACGTGGCAGCTCAATTAGACGAATGACCCCGACGACGCTAGCATATTAATAAATACTAGAAATTAAGACATACCAGCCCCTATGGGCCTTTGTGACATCCTCAGAAAATCCAGGTAAACTCGAAAGTTCTGAAACGCATTTCACATATCTTCCTAAACTGGAAAATCTCAACCTTTTATTTTAGATACGGAAAGATTTTAATTAAAATCTTTTTTATCGATCTATAAAATTAAACTTGAACATTTTTATAAATTCTGAAAGGTATTACAAATGTTTGCCTAAAATTCAAGCTTCAACATTTTTGTGAAGAAATGGTACAGGAATCATCATCCAATTTACAATTAATTTAAAATATATCTGTTTCTCTATCAGTTATCGTTTTCATCGTTCGTTTGTGTCTTTTGTGATAGCCATGATGAACTATATAAAATTAAACTCGACCATTTTTACTAAAAAGCTAACACAAACATCGTCCCTCCTTAGTTGCGCCACTGGGAAATCCTCTTCACCAAGATCGCGACCTTGCACCACAAAACAAGGTCACTCATTAGTGACGTCAGCGGGACTCTGAACTGAGTTACCGGAGCCAAAAATTTTTGATTCTGCCCTATTTCCCTTCTTAACTTTCAGCCGCTCCCTCTGAATTGGAAACTGTTGATTTGTTCATCCCTTGGCGTTTATCGATTTTTATCTGTCACCCTCGACAGGTGCAATTAGCCGAGTCAGTTGAACCCTTCTTATTCCATCCTTTTCTTTTTGATCCGATTGGCATTCATATTAAATTAAGATTATTAACCCAAGGGTTATTTCTACTTTTTGATGATTTTTTGAATGTTGGTATTGTTTTACTAACTGTGGAGTGGGAGGCTGTGAGAGAAATGATGCATCAAACCTTGCTGTATACAAACTACTCGATTAAACTTTAAATTGATTACTCATTTTTGTTTCAGATCGTATCCGAGGACAGGAATAATATACAAAATGTAAGTAATTATCCTAGTAAGAGCATTTGTCATGTAAATTCTTTCAACAAATCGCCCACCAAAATTGCGTATTCGTTCTTCTAATGGGAAGACGAAATGTGATAGGCAAAGTACTCTTACGCCAAGCCTAGTAATACTCGTAATACAAATCTGTAGACATTATTACGGGCGTATAAGTGAAATGCTGGTAAATTATCCCATTACCTAAATTAATGTCAAGGGTACGCACTTCCGAAAGGCATGTTTGTCCTATATTGTAAACCAATACACCACCTTTCTTATTTTATTAAGGCGCTGACCGGAAAACTTGTATTATAAACAGGTTAGGTGTACACATTTGCTATAGAAATGAGCACCTAGCATCCATCATTATTGTCTTTTTGAATACTAGTACGATCAAATGAGAAAAGGTTCTGTCGTTCAGCATATACTTGCTAGAGAGCTTGTGCAATTATTGAGTGTAACTTTCGCTATTAATTAGCTTTTATTGCCATTGATGATATCACGCAATCTGAAATACGCATCGCTGTGTCCATATTAACAAATTACCTTTTTTGGCAGATAGGACAAGAGAGAGTACACATGAACGGTTGGCTAAAATGTAATCTAATTACCAATTTTGTTAGAGTAACGACATAAACGCACTTAATTGTGTGGAAAATGTCCAATATTCTGTAGCATTATGATCCGGTAATTATTTTGAACGGACAATTCAACCCATGTATAAAAAATCGCATAAGCCCAAGTGAAAATTGTCACTTTGACAAGCGGCAAAAGTGTACTGCAACTTTTCCAGCGACAAATGCACTAGTGCGTTTTTTTCAACTTATTCATTTTCCCGAACCAATAATCGCGATTATCCTTCTCCCATAGAACCTAGTTTGACGTCTGTCAGTAATTGATAGTTATGTGAAATTTCTTTGTCGTTAATCTGTCCTCGGCCGCATATACACTCGAGGTTTTATTTAAAACCGAGTAAATTTGTGTTGTTGCCAAATAAGGATCTGTTGCCTTTTAGCATTGAAAGCTCGAAAAAAACTGTCCAAACCTAAAATGCTCCGACCTAGCGTTCGCATTTTATTAGTGACAGTTTTTCTCGTCTAATTGAGGCAACAGAATTTTCATTTACCTAACACCCAAATTACTCGGGTAAAAATAAACCTCTTTGTGCAATTAATAAGTGACAATTGCACAAAAACTTCATTTTACGTTAACTTCGTTTCAGGAAAGCAATTTTTTGCGAAATGTAATGTAAATGGGCTTGGAAACGAAAAGGTTGATCTCGATACGCCAAACCGTCTGAACTAACACTCCCTCAATGTGTTTGCAACTCATCATTAGTGCCATGTAATCAAAACATCCGTGAACAAATTTCTGCTCATAAAATGACGAAAGTAAACTATGCCTTTTTTGTTTAAAAAATAAAGACACATGTTTAGGTAAATCACACTTATGTTTAAATAAACGACACCCGGCAACATCTAAATTCTATTATTTCTGGACGAAGTGTCTTGCTAAATTAAATCAACCTTCTTCCCCATTCCAAATTTACTCCCTTAACAATATAGAAGGGCAATCGATTAACACTACAACATGAAGTACTTCATCTACGATCAGGCAAGTCTGCGTTCTTTCTGCTTTTACAATTAGGTAGCCCAAAGAATTACAAAAGTAATAATTTTATGTTAATTTTGGAAGATCTGTTGCTGAAGATAAAAGCGACTGTGGCTGTGCTACTCAATTTATTGGTTTAGAATTTTCATACAAATTGCAGCAAATGATTTTGTTAACTTTGTGCTATCTGCAAAGGGTTGTAGATTTTTTGAGGTGTGTAGTATGGCTCGTGGTATAAATTCTTCTTGTAATTTCTGCGTCTTGTTGCTGAAGTACTTTTGGAACTTACCTTTGGGAAACATAGTTTCAGCACAGGAAAGAATTTAGTTCGTTTCTATTTCCCTGATATTTCATCAATTGTCAACATTTTGTAACCAAAATTTGGAAAAATACCCTACGTTCAATATGGCGCATACATATAGATAAGTTAATTTAGTTCACTCTCTTTCGCTATCAAATGCAAGCAATGAAACAATGTACCTTTTTAATTGTTGCAATTGTAGCAGTCGCTAACTTCAGACGGATGGAGCTTTTGTGTAAAAATGGCGGGCGATGAAGATGAAGTGTCTGGTAAAGAAACTGACGAAAATTGTGTTTTTAAATGTTGTAAATCTAATTGTAAAGTGTGTGTATGTGTAAATTGTCACACTATTTATCACCAAAGCTGTGCTATGAGAAAATCTTTTACTAAAGTTAGTACTACGGAAATTATCTGCTGTTCAAATTCTAACCCTAAAAATGAGAACGCCGTAAAGACTCTCTTACGGGAATTGAATTGCTGCAACAACTAGTAACCGAGGCACAGGATAAGAACGTAATACTAAAGCAAAACAATCAATTACTCTTGGAGAAAATATCGCACCTATCGGGTAATAAAACTACTATAGAGACCAGTGCTGCTCAAAGTATTCCTGCACTCACGTACTCTGGAGTGATAAAGAAAGATAACCATGTTAAACTAAACCTGTCACGTAAACAACCTGTTTATCAACAAGCAAACGTCACCTCACCTGTAACACCAAATTTTGAGATTGGCAACACGAAACGAACTACACCAAAACTTAACCTTGAAGCAGAAGCCCCAACTAATAACGAAGCTCTAAAAAGCTCAAATCATGTTACAGCAGTGCGGCAATCTAAACCAATAATTAAAAAAGTAGGAACGAAAGATAATACGGATGGAGAATTCCTGGGCGTGGAGAAGAAGGTATGGATATATCTACACCGTATTAAAAGATCTGTTACAGCGGACGCGGTTGTGAAATATGTAAAAAGCGATTCTGCTTTTGAAAACGTCGAAGTTTCAGTCAAAGAACTACCATCGCAAGAAAGTCAAAATAAATGTTTTGTGTTGAGTGCACCGTTCTCATTTAAAGACCAGTTATATAACCCTGCTTTTTGGCCAAGTGGCGTTGGAATTAAGAGATTTGATTTTAAGAGACGTAATGAATCTAGTAACAATTCTTTTTTAGGAGTACCGAAGCAATAACTAAATCCACCATGCAAGTATATTACCAAAATGTTAGGGGTATTAGAACTAAAATGCAAAATTTAATGCAGTCTGTGTTTGCAACAAATTACGACGTTATTTGTCTTACAGAAACATGGTTAAACCAGGATATTTCTTCAAGTGAATTACAAATTAGTAGTAATTACAACGTGTACAGGCAGGATCGTAATATCCTAGCTAGTAACTTAAAACGTGGATGGTGGTGTACTTATCGCGGTGAATAAAACATTGATGTCTAAATTGATCTCAACCACTGTCGATAATGTTGAGCATATTTTCGTATTGGTTATGTTTCTCGGTAAATGTTACATCATAGGTAATGTGTATATTCCACCCAATTCACATTCAGACGTTTACGACTTACACTGTACTGCAACTGAAAATGTTCTTAATCGGTATCCCGACCACGTGCTAATTTTGTGTGGCGATTACAATTTACCCAATATCAAGTGGATCAACGACCAATATGGTCTTCATGCAACGGGCCAATTAAATGAATCAGGAACTATAGTAGCTGATCATTTTGCCTATCTAAATTTATATCAAGTAAATAACGTGCGCAATGATTACAATGTAATTCTAGATTTAGTGTTTACAAATGACTTTAGCTTGGTTACACACACAGCAGAGGATTTCTTACTTCCAATTGATCATTATCATCCCCCTATCAGTCTAATAGTTGAATCATGTCAACTTGGTGCTGATGAGCTGAAAGCTGATTATTTTTATTATGATTTTAAAAACTGTGATTTTGCAAACCTGAATTTGCACCTTTCGCTAGTGAATTGGGATTTATTGTTTTCCAGCTGTGATATGAATGTTTGTGTACAGTCTTTTTATGAACTACTGCATCATTTTTTTGAACTATATGTACCTAGAAGGAAAAGTGCCACTTCTAAGTTTCCTAAATGGTTTTCACGTCATGTAAAAGAACTTCTTGTGCAGAAAAAGGTTGCTCATAAAAAATATAAACAAACGCGCCTGTCTGGTGATTATTTAATATTTAGTGGTTTACGAACTAAATGCAATAAACTCATAAACGAGTGCTACAGTGACTATATTAATGTTACCGAAAATAATATTCACACAGACCCTAAATATTTCTGGACATTTGTACATGACTCTAAACGAAGCCATTCCTTACCTAACAGTATGTGTTACAATGGTAGTGTTACAGATGATCCGTGCGAAATTGCAAATTTCTTTGCCAATTTCTTTGATTCGGTGTATCCAAATGTGCGTGATACTTGTGTACCTGATTTTCAATATGTTAAGACTGTACATTTAAATACTTTAACTGTCTCTGCAAATGATGTTTTCACAAAACTTGAACAATTGAATACTAAAAAAGGTGTCGGCCCAGATGGAGTACCACCACTAATCTTAAAGGAGTGCCGTTTTACTTTGGCAAAACCATTGCTGTTCCTTTATTCGCTATCACTTAAATCTGGATACTTTCCTATACAATGGAAAGAAAGTTTTTTAATACCATTACACAAAGCGGGAGATAGGGAATTAGTGCAAAATTACAGGCCAATATCAAGAATTTCACAAATACCAAAGATTTTTGAAAAAATCGTTTCTGATAAAGTTACACCCATTTTAAATTGTTTATTGACCGATCACCAGCACGGTTTTGTGAAACATAGATCAACACAAACCAACTTAATAACGTACAAACACCACTTACTCAATGCCATGGAAAATCGTATACAAGTGGATGCCATTTACACGGACTTTACTAAAGCATTCGATAGGGTGTCTCACAAAATTTTGCTTGCCAAACTGGATGCAATGGGGGTGTCTGGTAATTTTAATGTATGGCTTTCTAGCTACTTATCCGAACGAACACAAACTGTATTGATACAAAATCATT